AAAAAAAAAAAAAAAAAAAAAAAAAAATCAAAACGGCCAAAACGACGAGTGCGATTTTATTGTTATATCGTTTTATTCGTTATTTTCGCGCGGCCGTTCGCGAACGCGGAATCCCGATCGCGGTAATCACGAGCGGTGTTAGTTGTGTTTTATTTTTCTCGCGCGTATTTATTTAGATTTTTGTTTTTGTTTTTTTTTTTTTTGTTTTATTTTTGCGAATACTATTTCCCCCCCGTATTTTCCGCGCGTCGCGGCGACGGATTTTGCACGGGCCGCGAAAAAAAAAAAAAAAAAAAAAAACAAAAACCCGCAATGGCCAACACGTCGTCAATACGCAACATTTGTATGCGCTTAAAAACAAACATAACGTTTATACGAATTATTATGATTTCGCCGAGTAACGCGACGCGCGGTATGATGCGGCATTACGTATCGGGGGGGGGGGGGGGGAGCTTTTCCGACCGCTGCGACCGCGGCCGGCCACGCGCGTTTTCGAATCGGCCCGAACGACACTCGCCGCCGCCGCCGACAGGGAGAAGACGTTGTCCGTCCCCGGGACAATGAATGGGCCGCGACACCGTTTTACACGGACGGTAACACATCGATGTGAAACCGTTTCGCACACGAAACAACGGCGGCTCCGGCCGGAGTTGACAGCCGGCCGTTTACACGCGCCGCTTCGTGGTTGGTCGAAAACCAATCGAAAATACATAGGCTCGTAGTACGTGTTTTCTCTGGCGACATTCGTTTATTAATGTTGTACCGGTTCTCTCGGTTTTTTCCTGCGTTACCCGACCCCCCCCCCCCCCCCCCCCCCCCNCCCCCCCTCCCTCCCAGTTTTTCACGTTCGCTGCGCGCGAAAACTCTCGGGTAAATCGAGAGTTTTCCCCGGTAAATTTCCTATCGGAAAAATCGCCGTTGTCGAAGAAGACTGGTGCGAAATCGCCGGCGGAAAAGCCGCGCGCGGCGCGTCTTTCGACGTCTTTGTAAAACTACCTCCAGAATACGGGCCACCTCTCGGAGCGGTCATTGTTTTATGGTCCGTTCGGTGACCGTTGTATCGGGAGTTTTACCGTACTCGCAGTCCGAAACGCGAATTTCCAAACTGAATTTTAAGCTCCGAACCGATCGCAGTCGGCGTGTTTGAATTCCGTCGGTTTCGCGGTCCGCGACTTTATTTCCATCAACGTGTTCCATCAATTGCATAGTCCACGGTTTCATGGTCCCGGCGGTTGTTTTTTCTCGAGATTTAACCGGCATTCCGCGCGCCAGAGTTATTCAATTCCGGTAAACGCACACGTTCCTTGTTATTATTTTTTCCTCTCGAAATTGCGTTTCGTGAACCTAAATCTCAATTCGTCTCGATTCCACGCGTGTTTCGTTTTCCATTCGTGTACAGTGTCCGGGATACGCGTTTCCGGACCGAAGTTTCCGTTCGTTCATTACGTTAGGCTGTTTCTTGTTTCGGACCGTACGCACTCGGCGCGTTTGGAATCGCGGTCGGTTTCACGGTCCGCGACTCCATATTTTCAATGTATTCCGCGCGTTCTGAAAACCTGTCTTTCCGGTGCATTTTAACGCCTTTCTCGATTTCGTGATTCGGCATATGGCTGTACAGCCCCCCGCGCATGCTTGTTTCGGCATTCCGGTCGTTTTGTTTTCCGGCATCGCAATTCCATAGGTCCCCATAGGCGGCGGCCTAAGGGGGAGCCGAAAGGGGCAGTTATGGCGGGCGTCGGACATTTCGCGCCGTACGCACCGGATTTACAGCGGACCAAGCTGCGGGGACGGCACGTTCCTTTCTTCCCCGTGCGACGGACAGATTTTAAAACGTCGAACGTTCGAAATGCACATATCGCGCGCGTTTCGTTAATTTTCGCGAAAAATCGCGTGCGGCAACGTTTCGTCGGCATTTCCCGTCGGTTTTCGCACATGTCCACATGCGCGCGCCGATTAACAGTGTTATAAAAAAAAACAAAAAAAAACTCGAAAAAAAAAATGTAACGCGTTTTTTTTTTTCTGTTTACACTGCCGTCGCGATGACTGATGACTCTGGCGCGCGTACATTACGTTGATACGACGACGTCGTGTGCGGTGTTTTCTCGACGGCAGAGTAAACTCTGAACGCGCGCGTTTTCGCGTATTCGGCGTTTTCGCACACGCGCGCGCGGGTTTTTCAGCCGCCTCCCGCCTCCCGCGTGTACTGCCCCGCGCGCTTTGTGCACCGTGCGCGTCACGCGCGCCAGCGTAAGACAAGAGCGCGCAGCCGCCCTTTGTTTCCGCGTGGGTGGGCGCGCGCCTTTGTTTGGTTTTTTTTTTTTCCCCATAATATAATATCCGTTATCGGTTACGGATGTTACGGTTCGCGAAAACGGCATGTTTACGGACAACACAAAATCGTGTTAATCGATAACGTACCGGCCAGGTGTTGTATAATCGTCGTACTTTATCAATAACCGAAACATCCATAAACCCGTTCATTCCGTTCGGCCGTTTCGTTTCAGTAACCCCGTACGACCGATTATTATTTTGAAGTGGGACGGACCACAGAATTCACGCACGATCATACAGTTTATGTTTAGGAATTTTCCGGTCGAATATTTCACCGAGATAAACCTCGAGCACCGAAGCTTTAAATCGATTACACAACGGGACGTTTACGGATATTTTATTTGGAAGGAATAACTCAAGTGTCTAGACAATATTAAAGAATCTCCTCTGGTGGTTGGGAAGAAACGTTAAATAATTCTGTTATTGAAACTAAAATATTTGATTCGTCCGATTTCAACGGTTATGAAGTAAATAAGGCAAGCAATACAGCAAAGATGGTTTCGAGGTGTTTCCCCCCGATGACGAGAAAGGTGGATACCTAATGATAATATAACAAAAGCCGGGCAATTGCAGCCACTGTGACAAGTGAGAAGTTGGGAAGGTAGTGACATTTAATGTATATCTGTGGGCAAAGATAAACCGTTGTTAACGAAAACACGATTCTGAGTTTTGACAACAATATTATGTATAATACAATATCTCCTGGGGAAATTAAAAAAAAAAAATGATGTCTTTAAATTACCTGCCCAGTCAGTGCTTATTCTAAAAGTAAATCTATCGTTGTAAATTGGAGCGAAATTGTTGGCAGAAAAGTTGTAGACAGAAAAAAAAAATTAAACGTCTTTATAAAACAATATGAGCTTCTTCACTCCACTCCGAATCTAAAACTTCAGTCAAAAAAAAGTTTTTAATTTGTATAATATATTTTATTAGATATTTAAAGGTAATAAAGTTTATCAAGGTGTAGAGGACGACACCTTGTGTACGAGGTGTGTTATAAATAACATTTTTAAAGCGTTTTCCGTGTAGTAAACAAAATATAAGTATAGATAATAAAATACACAGAACGAGAATATTAAACGTGAACACATAACTATCCCCCGGGTCGTTGGTGATAAAATATCAAATTTTAAAATGCGCACTACGGAAAATCAGGAATAACAGCCGCTGATCGAACGGGGCGGGGCGGAGGCGGCGGAGACTCACTCGTTCGCGCGCGTATTATAAATATTATTATTTTTTTTTTTTCAATGTACGACAACTCGTTTGCGAACAACGGAAACCGGCTGCTCGTGGGTACGGTTTTGGACGTACACAGGGTATCCGTCTTAAACGATGTATAACGGCCGTGTTTCGATCGCGGTTTCCCATCGCTCACCGGTTGTTACAACCGCGTTAAGCTGTACATCTTTATGGGGCTATTATTATATCAATGCCGATCTAGCGCTGTTCCCGTTGAATTTTTCCCGCTGCTAAACGTTATAATACGTCATAAAACGATTCGCGCACATAGTACACATTGCAGGAGTTTAACAATCTCCGGTCGGGGCGCGCGGTATATGTTCGACAACTGCGCGGCGAGAAGAACGTACGCGACATTGAACAATTAGTTTAGTTCCGAGAGTACGGGAGAGATCGAAAAACGGAATTTAACGCATTATTCGCAAGTGTTTTTT